CTCAATTTCATTTTGGATTCTTCATTATTAATGTATAGAAATGCAACTGATTTCTGCATGTTGATTTTTATCCTGTAGCTTTGCTGAATTTATTAGTTCTAACAGATTTTTTGTAGAATCTTGGGGTTTTCTACATAAAATATTCTGTCATTTGCTCACGGAGACTATTTAACTCTTCTTTTCCAATTTACCGCACTTGATTTTTATCCCCAGCATCTGACATACCAGAAATTTACTTGTTTATTAGTTTAGAGTCTGACTCCTCCCAGACAAAAATGTAAGCTCCATTGAGACAGGTAATTTCTGCCTGCTTTGTTCACTGCCCCTGGAGCAATGCCTGGCTCACTGTAGGTGATCAATAAATAATTACAAAATGAACAAATCACCTCACCTGGCACATGGAAGGGACTTGGCAAAAGGTAGCAAGAAATAATTATTGTTTTTTTACATAGTATTTCACTGCACGAGTAATAATGAAGGCTTAGAATGAAAAGGGTGTTTTTTATGCAGAATGGTTGCAGTGTCAAAAAACAAATAGCACCATGATTCCAGCTGCACTGGAGTCCCGGGGCAGGTCCAGCTCACTCCCTGACATGCCCCGCTTTCAAGTAATCCCTGTGGCTATCACAGATGACAACTGCATTCAGGTGCCAATCTACACAGAGGGACTTCTGTAAACAGACCGCTCTGTCCTATCGTCTCTGCCCAAATCCTCCAAGATATCCCATGCAGCCACGGCTGGCCTGACCAAAGTGCTGGCCAAGTGGCCAGTGTCCAAGTCTGTGGAGCTGGAGCCAGGACAGGGACTCCTGCCAAAGACAGTACATAGAACTAAGAGCCAGGGGAGCCTGTCACAGCCCACTAGGAAAAGCCTGGGTTCCAGTACAAACAGAAGCCAGAGGGCCAAGGGGGAGCCAAGGCCAGGGCAGCAGAGCCAAGAGCTCAGAGTCTGTCTGTCGGTCAGGAGCCAGTCCTGGGATGGGTGGGGGAGTATAGCTGTCACAGTCTGAAGCACTCACTGGGGCTGGCACTGGATGTTGTGGGCAACAGGGCGGGGCCCAGGTGAGTTGGGACTGGGACAGGACAGGCATCTCAGCCTCTTGGCAGATTCCTGGCTTAGCAACTTTTGCACAACACTCTCAGGGCTTCAATGTAAATGCTTCCTGGGAAAGGCTGTTTCTTCTCTCAGGGTGTGAGTAGAAAAGTAACCGTCCTCCCCGGCATTCCCAAACACCTTCTAAGGTGAGCTGACCTTACAACGTTCTTCCATTTTAGATCTGATCACCCACCTGGTATTTCTCGAAATACAAAAACACCTCAAACGGAGATTACCTAAAATTCTGATAAAAATAATAATCATAATACATGTAATATAAATGAAATGCAACCAATGTCCTACCAGTTCCCCTCTGATCTGCTGAGACTGAGCTTCCTGAGAAAACAGTAGATGATTTAGATCAGTGACTCTCAACCTTTATGGTCCCTGGACCTTTTTTGAGGATTCCAAAGAGGTTTTGTTTGTCCAGGCTATAGCTGTCAATTTATCATATGGCAGAATTGTTATGAAAACTAATCATAATTTCAAAAAACTCATGAGAAGAATGGCATTGTTTCACATTGTTTTAATATCTGGCTCGATAAAAGATAGCTGCACTTTCACGTCTGCTTTGTGCTGTCTGCTGTGATACGTTGTTTTGGTTGAAGTTTATGATGAATATCCAGTGTCTCACATGCACGTAGTTGGACGTATGCTTTCCAGGTAGCACCTGAAAGGGTCTTGGGGACACACAGGACCTTACTTTGAGAATCACTGGTTTAGATAATGATGGTGCAACTATGCCCCTCACTCGCATGGATCATGGGGATAAAAACTAGAACTCTGGGTGAGAGAGAGAATGGTTGTAGAGTGGTGGTGGGAGGAAGGAGTCAGGGGTAGGATTTTCATTATGCAGGTATCTGTCCCCAACCTGCACTACACTTGGCTGAAAGCAGCCTCATCCCAGCTGGCTCCCTCCTGGGGAAAGGTAATGTTGAGATGCAGTTTCCTTATGAGCCAGCCGCAAACCCTGATTGATAGGGACCAAATGCTTAATGGGAACAATTTTGGGGAGACAGGGTGCAGGAAAGGAGGCATAGTGCAGCAGTCCTCAACCCCAGATGCACAGTGGGTCACCTGGAAGATGTAAATGCTGACCTCATTGGCCTGAGCAAAAGCCTTCACAGCAGGAGCTTTGAAAATTGTCTGGCTGTTTATCGTGCAGACAGAGCCAAGCACCACCTGTTTGACATGGGCTCAGGAAGCAGAGCACCTGGGTTTGAATCCCTGGGTCACTAGTCATTTATATATACAATTCACTAATTGTATAACTAACCTCAGTCCAATTACTCAGCTTCGGTTTACTTATCTGTAAAATGGGAATGCCACGAGGGATGTTGTGAATATTGAATGACATCATCTACTTAAAGTTCTTAGTGCTGGGACTGGCATAGAACATGTACTCAGTCAACTTGAGTTGTCACTGTCTGTTATGGTGAAGATCAGTGCAGGCTGTCAGACTCTGTCAGCTTCCAGGGATGAGCATCTCTGAGGAAGCTGTTCCCACACAGGACAAGACACTGCCACAAAGCAGATGTTAAGACCTGGGTCTTCTGTCTCTGCATCTGGAAATAGAGGCAGTTGGTGACTCCCCCCGCCCAGGATCCAATTCTGGAAACTTCAGGCGAACAAGAGAGCTCTTGGCAGAGGTGCACAAAGGTGACGTCACTAGAAACAGGTGCAGAAGTCGGCACGGAGAACAATGATGGTGTTCACACTGTGTGTGTGTGTGTCTGTGTGTGCACGCACACTCTGCAATCAGACTCATACTGTTTTTTCCCTTTAAAATTATTGAAACATCTAAAATCTATTACAGATGGCAGAGGAGAAAACACAGCGTGGAAATATTCTAATGGCTTATTCTTGGCCAGCGGACTGTCCATAGAGACCCGGAGCGAATGAGACTCCCTCCTCATTTGTCCCCTAGAACATCATCATTACACATTATACACTGCGTTCTGCCTCAGAGTTCATCGGATCATCCACAAAAGTGAAAAGCAACATGAAAGGGGGGTCCAGGGAAACAAAGACGGGCCTGCCACGCTCCCTGAGCAGGCAGGACAGCCATGACTCAATCGTTTTATTAAAGAGGCAGGACGAATCATGTAACACTTCTTCTAGAATTACTGGATGTGGACAGCTCCTCCAGCTGTTTTACAGGGTGGAATTTGAGAGCCTTCAAACACAGATGTGCCGCTGAGTCTCATGACATCCGCCCAGCGAGATGAGCCTGCCGCACTGATGGACAGTTTCGTTTCCTTCGGGTTTACTGGCTTTTGCGAATTCATACAGAGAGAGGTGCCAAACAGGCCAAGATAATTCACGGAAATGACTGGAGGGATCGTCTAGGGCCAATCCTGTGCGTCCTGGAGGAATTATATCTAATCACCCAGGACAGAGAGTTGTCCAGGCTGCCTAAGGCCACTAAGTGAGCCAGGAAAACAGGAAGATAATTGGATCCAGAGCTCAATACGCTTCATCAGGAACGAGATTACAGAGGCTAATCCTTCAGACTCAGCGGGTCGGGTGGCAATTAACAAGCCTCATTAAGGGATCAGCTCTCACGTCCGGGTCTCGAGGATTGACACTAAGTTAAGCCACAGACATGTTGGGCTGATTAAGGGAGCAAGAAGCTGGCCACAGGCCAAGATTTCACCTTCCAACCAGCCCCATGCCGAGTGCACTGGGAGGCTACTCTGATAGAGAGAGTGGTTGGCAGCAAAGAGGTTGGTTGTTTTTGTATTTTTTTTTTTCTTTTTTGGTTGTATTCACAGCTCTAAATGGATGCTCCATCAAGAGGCAATTTCCTAGCTTGAAAATCTCTGCCAAACTGCTCGGTATGAAATGATTTTTTACACTTTGCAAGCACGCTCCACTCTGTCATGTGGGAGTTTTCCTGTGCCAAGTGAACCTCCATCTGCACATTCTCCAGCTCAGCTGACACTGCAGTGCCCTCATCAGTGTGGAGGTGCCTGCAGTACTGCAGCGCAGGTGGTGCCAAGGCTCTGCCTGTAATTCCTTCCTGAGAAGACTCCAGGATTGGTCCTTGTCTCCTTAGACAACCTACCAAAGGTTGGTGGGATTGTGGGGAAAGGAGAAGGATCTACTTTCAAGCATGGATCCCAGGCCTCCACTAGCTCTGTTCTATGCTCCACAAAGAAAGGCGCCCCTGCGGTCTCCTGAACTAGGAGGACTCCATCGCTCAATCCTCAGATTCTCCCTCCTAGACCATGCTGGGTGGGGAGAGGGCTGGGCTGCTTCAGGATAGGGCCGGCTCCTCAGCACGCCACTGAGCCGCAGCTATCCCAGTTCAGGCTCCTCCCCTAGGGGCTCTCACAGGAGGGGTGGTTTGGGGTTTTTTGTTTGTTTGTTTGTTCATTTTGAGACAGGGTCTCACTCTGGTTGCCCAGGCTGGAGTGCAGTGGTGCAATCAGAGCTCACTGCAGCCTCAACCTCCGGGGCCTCAAGCGATCCTCCCACCTCAGCCTCCCAAGTAGGTGGTACTATAGGTGTGGGCCACCATGCCTGGCTAGTTTTTGTTTTGTTTAGTTTTTTGGGCTTTTTGGGTTTTGTTTTGTTTTTGTTTTTTGAGACAGTCTCGATTTGTTGCCCAGGCTGGAGTACAGTGGTGCAATCTCAGCTCACTGCAACCTCTGCCTCCTGGTTCAAGGGGTTCTCATGCTTCAGCCTTCCAAGTAGCTGGGACTACAGGCGTACACCACCACACCTGGCTAATTTTTGTTTTGTTTTGTCTTGTTTTGGTTTGTTTCGTAGAAATGGTGTTTCACCATGTTGCCCAGGCCATGTTTCGCCATGTTGAGGCCAGGCTGGTCTCGAACTCCTGGCCTCAAGTGATCCACCTGCTTCAGTCTCCCAACGTGCTAGGATTACAGGCGTGAGCCACTGTGCCTGGCCAGTTTTGCATTTTTTGTGGAAACAGGGTTTCACCATGTTGCCCAGGCCAGTCTTGAACTCCTGGGCTCTGCCCAGGATCAGCCCACCTTGGCCTCCCAAAGTACTGGGATTACAGATGTAAGCCACCACACCCTGCTGAGGTATACTTTTTCCTATGTAAAATGTTAAGAACGCTATGAAGCTGAATGAACTTTGCTAAAATATATCATTCCTAATACTGACACAAAGGAACTCACTAAACACGTATTTTTTTCTTTGTTTCTTCCTTTTTTCATGAGGCTAAATTGACTAAAATAATATCACTAAATTTAGAATGACAGTTTATAGACAAATAAGACATAAACTTTGGATAAGTCTAAAGTGCTTTAAAAGCCCTTAAGATGAGTTATTTCTATTTCCCAGCTATTTAACTTTATCCCTAAAATTATATTGGTTTTGTCTACAAATATTTTATTACTTCTGCTAATACTCCTACTCCCTTGCCTGTGAGATTGGAGAAGTGAATGTGTGGGCCGAAGGAAGGGTTCCTTAGGTTAGTGGGAGTGGGGCAGAAAAGGGGCCTGAGGAAGACGTTCTCCTCCACCAAGACGTGTCTGTCAGCTGCCCTCAGCATGAGATCAACGGGCTTAGCAAGTCACAAAAGCAAACAAAACAAAATCTCTAGGCAAATTAACACAGGAACAGAAAACCAAATACCGCATGTTCTTACATATAAGTGAGAGCTAAACATTGAGTACACGCAGACACAAAGAAGAAAACAATAGGCACGAGTACACGCAGACACAAAGAAGAAAACAATAGAGAGGAGGGTAGGAGAAGGGTGAAGGTCAAAAAACCACCTATCATGAGTTCTGTGCCCACTACTGGAGTGACGAAATACTCTGTACATCAATCCTCCATAACACCCAATTTATCCATATAACAAAAATGCACATGTACCCTCTAAACCTAAAATAAAAGTTGGAAAGAAAAAAAATCTCTCTCTGTCTCTCTCTCTCTCTCTCTCACACACACACACACCCCATACCAAAATAACAGTGACACTTACCAGATCCTGAACTGCACGTTTTAACAGAGGTAGACCCATGGCAAACCTCACTCTCTGAACTGTCAAAGCTCTCATTTCATCCAAGCTTAAATCATACCTGTGAAGAACAGATACAAAACAAGACAGCCAATAATTGGTGACTGAGGGGAGGCTGTGGATGCTTTGACCCTGGGCTCAGATAGAAAAGCTGTGTCCATCATAACGCTTGTTTGATACTGTGCACAGTGTGTATGTTACATAGACTGGGTGTTCAATACAGTCAGACACCGGGAGGGATGTCTGACAGGATTTCCAGACAAGACCATATTATTATTATTATTATTATCATCATTATTATTATTATTTGAGATGGTGTCTCACTCTGTTGCCTAGGCTAGAGTGCAGTGGTGTGATCTCGGCTCACTGCAACCTCCGCCTCCCAGATTCAAGAGATTCTCCTGCCTCAGCCTCCCGAGCAGCTGGGACTGCAGGTGCCCACCACCACACCCAGCTAATCTGTGTGTGTGTGTGTGTGTGTGTGTGTGTATTTTTAGTAGAGACAGGGTTTCACCATATTGGCCAGGCTGGCCTTGAACTCCTGACCTTGTGATCCACCCGTCTCAGCCTCCCAAAGTGCTGTGATTACAGGCGTGAGCCACTGCACCCGGCCAAGACCATCTTAAAACAAGACTGCAGCACCTCCTGCTCTGCAGGGCTTTGAAAATTGTCTGAGATGACTTAAAAGCAGCATTTGGGAGATAGGGGAGAGGGAGTGTCATGCATGTTACAAGAGGTAGACTGTAGTGGCCATAAGGATTGCCATTCAGGGTTGCCTTCGAGAATACCTGCCTCCAGCTGCCACACCTTCGAATTAACGGAGTGATGGTAATTACATTCACCGTGAGGCTGCTCATCTCTTGGCTGCTAGCAGCTGATGGTTGAGCCGCACAAGGTTCTAGAGTCAGGCCATGCCTGCCCAAGAGGTGACCTGCTCTGGGACCCCCACTTGCCTGCAGAGACTTGCCATCACTTCACTGTGGTCTGTGGCTTTCGCAGATCAACCCTTTCCTGCCCCTCTCTTTTCAAGGGGACCAGACCTGACGGCCTTTGCTCTGGGGGTTCTCCCCACCAATCCAGCTCCCTCCCACTTAACCTTCACAGGTGTTTTCTCCAATTAAATCTCTTGCACATCTAGCCTCATCTTGGTGCCCACTTCTCAATAAACCTAAACTGACACAGGAGGAGAGGTTCCTCTTTGGCCACCTAGCATGTTTCCATGCAACGCACAGCCTGAGCCTGGAAGACCGCACTCAGGCTACATTTCAGAGCCAGAGGATATGAAAAGGATGGCCTAATGACAGAAAACCTTCTTGGAGATACCCACCCTACAGTAGAAAAACACCAGAGCAAAACACACCCATCTTCCTCTCCTGCCGTTTCAGTGGGGCGCTGCTCCTCCTCTCCTGCCGCTTCAGTGGGGCGCTGCTCCTCCTCTCCTGCACCTTCAGTGGGGTGCTGCTCCTCCTCTCCTGCACCTTCAGTGGGGCGCTGCTCCTCCTCTCCTGCAGCTTCAGGGGGGCGCTGCTCCTCCTCTCCTGCAGCTTCATGGGGGCGCTGCTCCTCCTCTCCTGCCGCTGTTAGGCGCTGCTCTTCATCTCCTGCAGTTTCAGTGAGACGCTGCTCTTCCTCCTGCAGCTTCGGTGGGCGCTGCTCCTCCTCTCCTGCAGCTTCAGGGCGCTGCTCCTCCTCTCCTGCAACTAAGAGACGCAGCTCTTCCTCTCCTGCAGTTTCAGGGCGCTGCTCTTCCTCTCCTGCAGCTTCAGTGGGGCTGGCTACTCTTCCTCTCCTGCAGCAGTGGGGCGCTGCTCTTTGCCCTCTCCTGCAGTTTCAGTGGGGCGGGTGTACTTCCTCTCCTGCAGCTTCAGGGGACGCAGCTCTTCCTCTCCTGCAGTTTCAGGGGGCGCTGCTCTTCCTCTCCTGCAGTTTCAGTGGGGCATTGCTTTTTGTCTCCTGCAGTTTCAGTGGGACGTTGCTCTTCCTCTCCTGCAGTTTCACTGGGGCATTGCTCTTCCTCTCTGCAGCAACCCTGCAAAAAACAGGAGGGCGCTCCCATTCCTCGCTGCAAGGCCCCAAGGGGGAGTTAGTCTTCCACCTCTTCCCACCTCTTGTCTTGCAGAGCAGATGGAGTGTCTGAGTTCCTCACCTGGCGTACACCTTGGTGGGCCAGGCTGGGAACTGATCTTCTATCTTCTGCTGGCAGCAAAAGCAGGTGTGGTGCAGGGGCGCGTGGTGGAGTCAGTAAGTGACCATCTATATACCCAGCAACAACAAAGCCTAGCAGAATATACGAGGGTAAGTCTAGTCACACCTGCTTCATGCCAACACCCACATCAATGGGATTGTGGGAGGACTTCACCCCTATTGGTATTAACAAGGAAAAAGGATGTGGTAGGAGACAGGGTCAGTTGGCACCCTATCTCCTACCACATTCACCTGCATAATTTTCCTCTCCTGCAGTTTCAGGGGGGCGCTGCTCTTCCTCTCCTGCAGTTTCAGTGGGGCATTGCTTTTTGTCTCCTGCAGTTTCAGTGGGACGTTGCTCTTCCTCTCCTGCAGTTTCACTGGGGCATTGCTCTTCCTCTCTACCCCTTAACCCTGCAAAAGCAGGAGGGGGCGCTCCCATTCCTCGCTGCAAGGCTGAGGGGAGAGTTAGTCACCTACTTAATTCACCCTCTCCTTCCTGGTGTCATTAGCACTCAGAAGAGAACTGAGCTTTCATCCCAAACCGGTGACAACAAAGTGATGTGGGTCAGCTTTCAACTTCCCCCTTCCTGATGGCAGCTCAGCCCAGTGGGGAAGGGATGATCTCATATTCCCATTTGAAGGCAACTGAGGCTAAGTAGATCACTGTCTGGGCATCAGCTGAGAGGTGTTGGCAGGGCCAAAGAGGAGCTGAATTTACCCATACCTTTTCAACAACTGTAAGTCAGCCTAACAGGAAGCTGAATATAATGCCATTATTGACATCTCAATACCTCAACAGACTCCATGCTAAAAATATTCAATCAATTTTGAGCCACATAATAAAATATCCAAATGTTCTGTGACATGATAAAAATTGCTCATCATACCAAGAACCATCAGAACAAAGAATTTACTAAGAACCATCACGGCAACAAGGAACATCACAACATGAATGATAAAGAAACCAATAGATACCATACTGTAAGATTAACTACATTGGAATTATCTGATGAGGATTAAAGCAATGTTATCATAACCACGCTCAACAAGCAATTATAATTTCTCTTGAAATAAATGGAACAAAAACAGAAAATTGTATCAAAGAAGCACAAGTTATGGAAAAGAATAAAATGGAAATCATAGAACTGAAAAATATGATAACCAAAAATTTTAAATCTCCTAGATGAACTTCAATAATTTAAAAGATAGATATATGAATAGAATCAGTGAACTTGATGACAGATTGCTATGAACGAAATGTTTGTATGTCCTCAAAAAATTAGTATAAGAATTCTAATCAATGCAAGGTGATTATATTAGAAAGTAGCCCTGGGAGATGATACAGGTAGTTCACCCTCATGAGTAGATTTATGCTCTACAAAAGAGGTCCCAGAGAGCTGGGGCCTTGCTCCTTCCACTATGTTAGGACATAGCAGGAAGGCACCACCTATGAACCAGAAAGCAAGACCTCACCACACCAAATCTCTAGCACCTTGATCTTGGACTTCCTAGTCTCCAGAATATGAAAATAAATTTCTGTTATTTAAAGGCAAGCTGATCTAAGATATTTACTTGATTAGAATACAAATCAATAGAATCATCCAATCTAGCTAATAAAGTAAAATATAGACTGAAAAATAAGACAAATATTTGAGGAACATTTGGGATAATAGCAACAGAGCCAACATGCACATCTTCAGTTTCCTGAAAAGCAAAAAAAGACAGGGACTGACCAAAAAGTAGTACAAGATATAATAGCTAAACCTTCCCTACTTGGTAAAAGACATAATAAATCACAGGTTCAGTAAGCTGAGCAAATAATTAGCTAAACCTGTGCGCTTCCATGTCAAAAACATAATAATTAAATTTCTGAAAACTATGCACAGCAATCTTGAAGGCAGCTGGAGAGAAATGATGGTTACTTATAGGGGGAAACCATTGAATGATAGCAGATTTCACTGGAAACAGAGGTTGTAAACAAGGGCTCGAATATTTTTAGTACAGAGACAAAATAACTGTCAATGGCAAATCTTATATTCAGTAAAGATATCCTCCAAGAACAAGGCAAGAGGAAGAACATCTATTGTGGCCAAAAAATGTAAGAGAATGTTTGCTAGCAAGCTGACTTCTGTATAGAATGGCTATGTGTAGTTCTAAATAGAAATTAAATGATAGGAGAAGAAGGTTAGAACTTCTCTAGAAAAGAAATAACTTCAGAATGAGTAAAATATAGTAGACTGCATTAGTTATTATGGGTTTTAATAGACTTTTTAGAGCAGTTTTAGGCTCACTGTAAAACTGATTAAAAGGTACAAAAGATTTCCCCATATAGTTCCTTCCCCTACATGTGCATAGCCTCCTTACTTATCAAAATCCCCCACACCAGAGTGGTATATTTGTTATGGGTAATGAACGTACATTACCCATCATTATCACCCAAATTCATAGTTTACTAGTTCATTCTTGAATTGTACATTCTGTGGGTCTATGAGAATTATAGTACATGTATCTACTATTATATGACTTTCATACAGAGTAGCTCTTCACTGCCCAAAACTCTGTGCCATGCCTGCCTCAACCCCACAGCCAGACTGATCTTTCTGCATTGTCTCCACAGTTTTGCCTTTCCAGGATGGGAAGTCAAGTACAGTTGAAATAATGCAGTATTTCCAACTAGACTTTTTGGGTTGTCTTTCACTTAAGTCCACTTTGAGCCCCATGTTAAGTAGCCACACCTTCATTTCTTTTAGCACTAATAATATCTCCATTGCCTGGAGGCACCACTGTTTATTTATCCATTCAACTACTGATGGACATCTTGATATCAAGCTTGGAAATTATGACTAGAATTTTCATAAATATTCATGCAGGTTTCTGTGTGTGCACATAAGTTTTCCATTCTCTTTGCAAACACTACAGAAAATGATTATCAAATATATAAAAGAAATCACCAAACTGTCTTCCAAAGCAACTATACCATTTTGCATTCTTACCAGCAACATTTGAATAAGACTTGTTGTCAGCATTTACTGTTGTCAGTGTTCTGATTATTCTAATAGACTTGTAGTGGTATCTCATTGTTGTTTTAATGTTTGTTGCCCTACTGACATATGATGTTGAGCATTTTTAATATGCTCATTTACCTGCTATATATATTCTTTGGTGAGGTGTCTGTTAAGGTCTTTGACCATTTGATGATGTTGTTTGTTTTCCTATTGTTGAGTTTGAAATGTTCTTTGTATATTTTGAATAACAGTCTTACATTAGACGTGTCTATGTGTCTGTTGCAAATATTTTCTCCCAATCCACAGCTTGTCTTTTCATCCTTTTGACATTGTTTTTCACAGAGCAGAAAGTTCGCCTTTTAATAAAATTCAGTTTACCACCTTTTCATAGATCACGCCTTGGTGTTATATCTGGTGGTCATCACTAAATGCAAAGTCCCAAGGACTTTTTCCTAGATCTCCTAGGAATGAAGGGTTTGACATTTTACATTTGTGCCTGTGATCCATTCTTGGAGTTACTTTTTTGAAGGTGTAAGGTCAATGTCTAGATTTATGTGTGGGTGTGTGTTTGTATGTTGATGTCCAGTTATCACAGCATCATTGGTAGAAAAAGCTATCTTTTCTCCATTTATTGTTTGTTCTTGTCACGACTCGTTTGACTCTATTGCAGAGTCCATTTCGAACTTTCTATTCTGTTTCATTGATCCATTTGTCTGTTCTTTCACCACCACTATACTATTTTAATTACCATAGATTTGTAGTAAGTCATGAAGCCAGTAGTGGCTGTCCTCTAACTTTGTTCTTCCCCTTCAATTTTGTATTGGCCCATTGTGAGTCTTTTTGCCTCTCCTTATAGACTTAGAATCAGATGTTGATATCCATGAAGTAACTTTCCAAGATTTTGATTGAAATGATGTGTACTCAACAACATTAAGTTTCCTCTCCATGAACACAGAATATCCCACCATTTATTTAGTGATTTTTTTTCATTCATGACTTTTTGAAATAATATTTAATGTCTAATGCAAAAAATTATAAAACCATCTGATGTGGTATCTAATGGTGGGGTTGAAGAATACTTCAAACAATTTGGCCAGGGGCAGTGGGTAATTCAAGCGCTGTGGGAGGCTGAGGGGCAGACTTATTGAGCCAGAGTTGAGACCAGCCTTCTGGGCAATGTTGCAAAATTTACAATAAAGGCTGCAAAATTAGCTGATGCGGCAGAAAAGGGAACACATTAAGGCTGAGGCAGGAGGATTGCTTTGTTTGAGAGGGAAGGCTGCAGAAATACATCACACCACCGGCACCCGCAAGCTCCAGCATGCAT